AATTGTATTACCATTTGTTCAAGAAATCTTTGTTTATTAGAAATTTCTTTTAGCATGTTATCAATTTTTTTGTACACAAAGTTAATACATATTGTTACTTAACACGTGAAGATCTCGTCAGCCATGGATGGCCAGAACTGACACGATATATGGGCAGATATGACCTCACTAAGGGCAGAGTGAAGGCACTTAAGGACAACCTTCTTTTGTTCTAGGGGCCATTTTCCTTTAGGGCATACTAAGTGTCTCTGGAGGCGTGGGTTTCATGGGAAGTAACATTCTGTTCGGCAAAATGAAAATCTGAACTGTGGACAGACTTGACGGATTAAATAAGACAGTTGTGAATATTATACATCTAACAGCCCACAAAGCTGTCTCAAGAAACATATACTAACTTAATAACTTCTATTCCTGCATCAGATTCACTCCCTAACCATCCTATCAATTTCTATTGAGATAACAAAATACACAATTAGAATATTTTCTAGCAAAAATTTCATTGCTAAAATCTTATCCGTAGCTTCTGAATAACTCTACAGAACACCGAAGAGACAGACCTAAATCGCAAGCATGTCACCACCCCCCTCCGCCCCCTCCCCCCCGCGTCTCACAGAAGCGAGGGGAGGGGGGGGTGTTTTAGCAGAGGGGGATTTGAGTGGAACAAGAGAGAGACTGCCTGCCAGCACGAATTTAACCATGTCAACGCTGTACAGTAACAAGACAGAAGGACAATTACATTACAAAGCAAAAACACAACATTTCATTTAAACCCCCACCCTCTACCAGGGTAATGGCTAACACAAAATACAAAAACCCCACAGCGTTTTAAGATTGGGGTGGGATGGTGACCATGGTCAGCTATATTTCGGTCATTACTGACAGGATGATGGAAGTGGTCACCTCCTGGAACCCCCGACAGGGCACTGGCTGGGATAACTTCCCAGTAACACAATTATTATGATATACATACAGTTCTTAACCCTTTATGATTTATCTCTTCCTCTACCCAACCCTCCTGCTGGATAGCCTTTCTACTCTGTACCATGCTTAAGCAGTACGCAATAAATCATTATCTGTAAGCTTGCCTTTCTTCTCTGTCAGTAATCTACGCCAGCTTTCTGGCTGTAATCTACCACATGAAGGCACAGCAATTTTACACACTTTAGCAATCTTTGCAACATTTTTAACCAGTTCTTCACCTTCTCTATCTTCAACTAAATCACACGCGAGCCAGCCCCTAGCGGGCTTACTCGTTTCCTGTCCCATATCCCCCTATACAAAGCGTCCCAAGTATAGGTAAAGGAAAATGAAACAGAACGTCTACAATGCTCGACTGCCACTAGGAAGGGTGGGTCCCTCCCAGTGCCTCTTCCCAAAACGTAGACCAGTCACTGAATCCGTGTACCCTCGATGGTAACCACGGATTGGAGCGGGGTGAGAAGTGTGTGACCAATCACTTCTCTTTCAAGAGAAATAGGAGTGGATAGTGTAAATAGTACAGGAAGTAGAGGAAAAGTAAACAGTGAAAGTAGAGACAGACCCAGGAGCTTGAATGACTCCACACTTAAGACAACATTTAATACAACATTTCAATTGAAATACAGTGCATGCATCAACAGTAATCCCTTTCCTTTACTCTTGTGGCCACCAAGGCCACCTCCCTCAATCTCGTAGTGTCCCCGCTCGGAGAACAACTTTCGTAAGTTTCACTACCAGCGGCCAAGGATAACGACTAACACCGGCCCGAAATCCATATGCCTCCCTCGTTACAGCAGTCCACCAAGTGTGGCCACCTCTATCCTCACTCCCGTAGTGCTCCCTATGGACCCACCCACAAGTCACACTACCCCGTGGTGATGGAGACAACAATGCCTGCCCGAATCCACACACCACAAATAAATTGGAATGCCACCAGCCTCAGCGCTCGAAGCTGGAGGGTACCATAACCTCTGCAAGCAGAGCAACGTACACAATGAGGCTAGCTAGAATATCAAAGTGACGTAACCGGGAAACCCCAGGAGGCAAGTCCCCTCCACAGAATCCCCCAACCCTTCTTTTTCCTTACTACTGTTAGCTAGACAGTACCTAAAAGAAGTAAACAGGAAAACAGGACCCCTTTGGAAAATCCCCACAGGTCCACCCCCCCTTTTTTCCCAACAGTCTGGGCCAAGTGACTCCTAAAAAGGGGTAAAAACAGGCAACAGAAGACCCCCAGGCAACCACCCACGGGTCCACCCCCCTTTATCTCTAAAGAGGGAAAGAACAAAACATATACCACTAGCACACCCAGGCAACAGATAGACTAA